GGGTTTTAATGGAGACATGTTGAAAGTTTTTGTCACTTCATGCCCTCAAGAGGCATTTTGTTTAATTATCTTTGCTTAATTATTTGTCATTTTTCAAGCTATGTTTTCCTACGTTTGTCATGAAAAATGATGTCTCAGGAATGTAGGGTTTGGGAATTATGGCAGTTTAATTTTTTTTTCAAGATTTCCTACCCTCTAGCTGTGACATCACGCACTCTAGTTAATGTTAAAATCTGAAGAAAGCCTCTTTACCAAGGTCTGAACAATGTTTAATATCTCTAAAAGTAAGAATCAGATTTAAAAGTTGTGTTACACGAATAATGTCAGAAAGATGTGTAACATTTTAAAGTTGGAATGAGGTTTCTGAGTGAAAGTATGAATGAACAGTTAGCAGTTGAAGTCGCATGAAGATTGTTCAAGTCTGAAGATTTTCTCCATTGACTTCAATGGTTAAAAATGTGATGAATTATGGGATGTATCTCTGGAATTATGAAAGTTATGAATAATCCAAATGATAGCCATCGATTCCCGACCGAGCTGAACGTTTTGATGTTTGAACGGAGTTTCTGCGATGTTGAATGCAGGAGGAGAAGTGGTGCAAAATTCCGGCGGAATAATAATAATTTTGTCCGTAGAATAACATATAGTTGGAATGCTGTATCAGCATTCCCACTAAATTACTAGATTCTCCCTTTGACAGACAAGAGGGATTTCCGCCGCAGGTTTATATTTACGTAACATTTGCGTGTCCACATGCAGTGCATAAACATGGCTGAGTCAACAGCGATAACTTTCGAGGGGTGGAGGTATGCCCATTATTTTGAGTTTGTCCGAAGAAAGGACAGGAATGTGACGGTGAGGTGCAAACTGTGTCCAGGCCAGAAGCTTTTATCCACTGCTGCAAACACAACGTCAAACCTCAATAAGCACCTGCAAAGACAACATGCTAACGTGAACCAGAGTGAGGATGTTGAGTAAAGTAACGAGTAACACTGTAGGTGCGCCGCATTTGCGCTTCAGGTGAGGCTCCCTCCACAAAATGAAGCACCCTCCGCAGTCTACGTGATCTGCCTGTAGGGAGGGGCGGCCCTGCGAGTAAAGTAACGAGTAAAGTTAAGAGTAAAGTAACGCGTTACTTTATGTAGAGAGAAACAAAGTAAAGTAATATTACTTTTTTTTTTAAAGTAATATGTAATATATTACTTTTTTTGAGTAACGACCCCATCTCTGGCAGTAGCCATCTATCATCTTTAGATTAACATGATGTTAAGAATGTATTGATTTTGATAACTATTTAAGCGAAACCATAACAGTTTACTATGTGGTTTACCACAACCTTAAATACACAAGTTTATTTAAAGGATACATCTCTTGTAATAAACTTGCTTGACATTGCAGAAAAGGTGATAGGCAGCAGTGGTGTAAAGTAACTAAGTACATTTACTCAAGCACTGTCCCTAGTTACTTTACTTATTTAATTTAGATTCTACTCTATACTACAATTCAGAGGTTAATCGTGTATTTTTAGGCCAATATTTTGTATTTTAGTTACTTTGCAGATTTGGCTAATGATGTGAAATATAAACAACCCTTAAATCAGACTTTAGTTACTGCTGAGTAACATTAAGGGAAGGTAATTATCAAGTCCCACAAACAATTTAGCAATATATCTGTCACGAACGAGCTGAGAACCAAAATGCAACACACGGGAAACCAGGGAAAGTCGGTAAGCAGCTTTATTATAAAATGTTTATTTGTAGATACCCCCAAAGCGTTTTGCCTATTTAAAAATAATACCTTAACCTAAAGTATTCTTTAATGTTTAAATAAAGCCTAATTAGTTTGTCTGTTTTGCACATCCTCTCCTATCAATATCGTTGTACATCCAGCACTAAACTGTTTTATTGTCGATATCACTTACAGTATCTTCTTGATATGTTCTATTCTATATTTCTATCATTGACTTTCTACTTGCCCCCTAGTGTGTATCTACTCCTACTTAGCAATACTAGTGGAGCCTCGCAGATGGGGGTGCTGCAGCCCCCTCAGCACCCCCCCCCCATGATTTAATAGTACCGCATAGTTTAGCAAATAAAAGTGATCGACCTCCCAGCTTGCGCTGTCTGTGTAGTATTTTGTAAAATAACGCCCCAAACAGCGACCGTCTGTTAAACGCTATCGATTCAAACGGCAGCGTTTTATTCATATTTTGTTTCAAGCTCTCGTCTTTAGTAAAAACAAAACTAGTTGAAGGGGAAATGCTCCCAGGGGAAGCTGATCCACCTTCAGCTCGGTCTCTCTCTCTGCGTGAGCCGCTGTCTGTGTGAACGCCGCTCCGCAGTTTAATGCAGGGCCTTAGCTGCGTTTTAAACAGGCCTAAGATGATATTTAAAATGATTCACTTTTAATTAAAGGTAAGGTAGGTAATTCACTTCAGAAACACTTTGTTATATTCCATGGAATGCTCTTAACATCCCGATAGCAATGAATAAATTAAATGCTTTGACAATAAATATATACAAATATTTCATCTGTGGAAGCCGTGGTGCTGTAAAAAGCAAGACCAATTATCTGCCCTGGCCCGCGGCAGATAACGGGATGACCTACCTGCCTGTCAGCCTTCCATCTCGTGCACAAACTTATCTCGTGCCCTCATTGTTCATGTGTGCGTTTGTGTGTGTTGGAGGAGGGGCTCTATAAGGAAGTCTGAAGGAAGGGGCAGATTTTTTTCGGTTGTGTACTTTCAAATTCTAGCTTACTCTGGTTTCTCCATTCTTACCTACCCTACCTTTAATGAACTGCTTGTTTTGTTGCTTGTGGACATAGTGTAAGTTTGTTTCTACAAGTACAGTTTTAGGGACACAAAGGTTAGGAGGGCAGCCGGGGGCAAGGCTCTACAGTGGGGGGGGGGGGGCAGCTGCCCCCTGTAGTTTTTTTCTATCTCTTAAAAAAATACAGTCTTCTCTGTTTCTCGTAAGGTCTCCCTTTCTGTTGGTCGCTTGTTAGCAGACCCTTCACGCGATAGCAGAGCGAACAGATACAGGAGGCGTAGAGCGAGGGATCATTGTCCACTAGTTAATTAATCGCAGATGGCGTCGTGCGGATAAAGTAAAAAAATAAAATAAATGGGTCGCGAAATATACTTTGGCGGCCGTTAATATACCTGGGCGGCCCGCCCAAGTAAAGTCTATGTGTGGGAAACCCTGTATTGGATGTGTTATTTATGTTTCTTGTCTTTAATGTGAATTAACTCTTATTTTGAAATGAAAAGAAACCGGTAAAAAAATACAGCTTCCTGCGTTCGGATGAGCTGCTCCGACTCTCGGTCCTGACGGACTCCAAAAAAGTCAGACACAATCAAACAAATAAATAAAAACAAGGATAATTGTGTCTTATTGTTGACTAAATAACATTTTAGAAATAATAAAACATTTGAAGGAAAAACTATGAAACAATACAGATTTCTGTCACGAACTTGAAAACACAAGGTATAGGACTCAAATGCACGACCCAGGAGCATTGCGGCGCCAGGGGGGCGCTGAAGCTCCCCCTAGGATAGCCATAGCACCCCCTAAGCACCCCCAAGAAATGTATGTCTTCTTTTTTTCTTTTGTGAAAATTCATAATTTAGAAAATGATTGATTCGAAATTAATATGCTACAGTAGGCCACAGTACAAGTACTTCTGGGTCTCTGTGTTTCATTCAAGCTCTGCTCTGTGTGTGTGTGGCACGAGCCATTTTGTGTGCGTGCGCGAGCGAGAGAGAGAGAGAGAGAGAGAGAGCGCGCACCGGTACCGGAGATCGTTGTGGTTAGCATCTGATGCTAGCTAGCTACGCTAACGGATATAAGGAGCTTTTTCAACAAGGTGGAGGGAGAACTCTCTCCTGTCAGACTGAGAGTCTCAGATAACCTCAGCTCAGGTGAAGTAAAGGACTCTCTCAGTGTTTAGATAGCCTAGTTAACTTGGGGTGGGTCTCAAACGGCTTGGTCACGATGAATGTAAATAAGTATATCCGAGGCACACGTTTATATGATCATTATAGGTATAAAAAAACAAGAGCATAAATGAAAAACAGGTATGAAATAGCCTACTATATGACAGTAAAACAAGAATACAGTTTAAAAGGGGAGTGATTTGTAAAATATCGATAAAGAAATAGAAAATCGGTTTACAGTTCTTTTTCATATGGGTGTTGAGAGGTATCCATAGATCGCTTAATTTTGCTCTCAAAGTGCATCAGATTGATGCATTTAATTTCCATATAAAAAAAAAAATCTTCCCGGGGGAGCATGCACCCTTCTGTCTTTTTATGCCTTTATTAGCTACTAACTTGAATTTTTATCAAAATTAATTAATCAATTCTTTGTTATACTTTATTGTAATGTATACAATCATGTATTGTGTAACAATTATATGTTTAAAAAAAAGAAAAGTCTAATTATGATATTAGACCTCAAATCATCTGAGGCCTGGCGCACCCCCTCCAGGTTGGGAACCACTGCCCTAGAGGATGTGACGTCCACCCCCCGATTAAAACATGTTCATACAATACTGAATACATTTGAAACCTTCTTTATGTATATAACCAACATGTCAATACGTTTCAGTTTTTGTAGTGTATTGGTCTTTTGTAGAGATTTTTCATTTATTCTTTATATATTCTCTTGTGTATTGCTTGGGGGGGGGGGGGGGGGGGGGGGGCGGCCCTGTGGCTGATAATAACTATGTGTCCTCTAATATTCAATTACCCACCCCAAGTTTCTAGACACAATCTGACTTGCCTCTCAAAGAACATTTACTTAAAAAACACCTCTAACAACCCCCCCCCAACCTGTATTCATCAGCCCACCTGATAAGTGCCTTGTGGGAGGCAAAGATAAAGCAGGGGAGAGAGGGACACACTGCATCATATAAAATATATATATTTGTTATAGTCTGTGTCACAGACTTCCTGTTCTTTCCTACATTACTGTTTTCACTCTTCCTCCACCTTTCAGTACATAAAGGACTTCTACAACAAGACAGCCCTGAGTCGTAATGGGACTGGCCTCAGCGGGGAGACCCTCACTCTGATGTACTCTCTCACTGTGTCCGTCTTCGCTATTGGAGGTCTGCTGGGCTCCGTCGTCGTGGGCATGCTGGTCTCTCGCTTTGGCAGGTAATACATTTGTTTCCACAGATTGTTCAGGAGAGGATCTAGATTTAACAGCAGTTCTACACCAGTTAAGTGGGTTCCTTTTAACCATCCCCAAAATCTTCCCTTAACCCTACGCAGGGCTGCAGGAGCCCATGGCCACTCGTCCAATCATACGTGTCTGTGAAGTATCATTTATGATTTGGTAGACTAAAGCATAACAGAAAGTAACCTCACTTAAAATAGTCCCAAGTGCGTCATTGCTAATGCTGGTTTGACACCGACAAGGTTGAACATGAAGATTCATGCAAAACAAAAAATTACCATTTTCATTAAGACCACTGTTGTGTTCAAAATTCCAGGAAAGACAGACAACTTCTAAGTTTAACTATTTATTATAAGAGAGCAAAATATATATATTGACTTGGCCAAGGACTCCGTCACGTCATAGAAATCACAGGCAGCAAAACTGTAATCTGTAACCACTATTTCCGGAAAGAGCCCCGAACCTCGTGTGACAATACATGTTTATTACACAGGGCGTTGCCCGTACATTTATGATTGGTTGAGACTAGATGGAGAGCAACCTTGGTTTAGACTTTGGCTCTCTCTCGTTGGTGCGCAGACTCAGACAGAGTCTCTTGGCAACACGCAGCTAACGTGCAAGTATGGGCATTAAATTATCTGAACAAAGAGGGGGGCATCATTTCAAGTCACGTGGAGCAGCAGGGGGGCATATTTCAACAGAAAACAACCGACATTACTATTGAGTAGTTACAGTTCTCATGAAATTAAATTGATTATTATTATATTGATATAACCATGCTATAACAGATCAACATTAAAGGTCCCCTATTATACTCTTTTTCATCAATATATTATAGTTCTCAGATCAACCCAGTCTCACGGCATTTCGTGTTATTAGTCACGAAATTAATTTAATCTATTGATTCGTGTTCACCAACACGATTTTCACCTTTTTTTCGTGTCACACAGAACGATTTTAAATGCAATGTATTTCTATTGGTAGTATGTTTCGTGCCTGCAACACGTCTTTTTGTCCGGTCGGGTCTTGGAAGACCAGAAGCTGTGTGGTTCATAAAAACATGTTCTTACTCAATATCTTACCCTAAGCCTAACCCTATCCCTTTTATTTTAAATTGTATAATGTCTCAGTTTTTTTGCCGTCAGTGAGGAAAAGAAATGGCTCAGAGCCTCAGAATACTGAAATCTGTATTTTATGTCATCTTTTTTTCCTTCTAATTTGTTATTATTTGGTGCAGGCACGAAACATACTACCAATATAAATACATTGCTCCTAAAATCGTTCTGTGTCAGAATACTTAAATCTGTATTTTTTTTAATGTCTTTTTCCTTCTAATTTGTTATTATTTACATTGCTTTTAAAATCGTTCTGTGTGACACGAAAAAAATGGCGAAATCGTGTTGGTGAACACGAATCAATAGATTAATTTCGTGACTATAACACGAAATGCCGTGAGACTGTGTTGCTCAGATATATACAAAACATGTCTCTCGCTGAAAACTTTAAGCAGGACATTCTTAATCACATGTACAGGCTGATCAATTTGTGTGTGTGTGTGTGTGTGTGTGTGTGTGTGTGTGTGTGTGTGTGTGTGTGTGTGTGTGTGTGTGTGTGTGTGTGTGTGTGTGTGTGTGTGTGTGTGTGTGTGTGTGTGTGTGTGTGTGTGTGTGTGTGTGTGTGTGTGTGTGTGTGTGTGTGTGTGTGTGTGTGCCTTCAGGAAAGGCACACTGGTAAACACAACAGTGCTGGTGTTTATTGCCAGCACCCTGATGGGCTTCAGCAGGATTTGTGGTTCACCTGAGATGGTCATCATTGGTCGCTTCATCACAGGAATTCATTCAGGTACACATACATTTACACACCTATACATTTACTGCTGTAAGTAATGGCGCATGTTTAAATGGCCAAATGTATGTTTGTTTGTTTGTTTGTAGCCTTTATTTATCCAGGTTAAAAAATCCCATTGAGATCAACAATCTCTTTTACAAGGGAGACCTGCGGCACATTTAGTTACACATTTAGTTACAACAAACAGAAAACAAAAGGACATCACAACATAATTACAGGGGTAATTAGCATTAGCAACCTATTTACATTTACAGGTATCCAATAATATTTCATCCAGCCGTGCTTTAAAACGATGCAAGGGAATCAAAATGCTCAGTTTCAATATTTTTTGCATGGTGTTCCAAGCCAGAGGAGCAGCGCACATGAAACCTTTAGCACCTAAAACAGTCCTAGCACTTGGCACATGTAATAAAAACACATCCTGTGATCTCAGGCAATAGCTACTTGCCACTGTCCGTGAGATCGAAGAGCAGATATAAGAAGGTAGTTTACCCAGCATGGCTTTATATATGAATATGTACCAATGACTGAGCCTCCGACCAGTAAGTGAAGGCAGACCTGCCTTGGCATAGAGGGTACAGTGATGAGTAAGTACTTTACAGTTAGTAACAAATCTCAGAGCACTGTGATAGGCGGCATCTAACCTTTCCAGGCAATGGGCAGGTGCATTCATATATATCAAATCACCATAGTTTAGCACAGGTAAAAAGGTCACAGTGACTAGCCTTTTCCTGGCTTCAAAAGAGAAACAGGACTTGTTTCTGAAAAAGAAACCTAGTCTAACCCTCAGTTTTTTAAGCAGATTAGTGACCTGAAGTTTAAAAGTAAGACAATCATCAAGCCAGATACCAAGGTATTTATAATAGCTAACCACTTGGAGTACTTGTCCTTGCATAGTCACAATATCCAAAGCAGTCTCTGGAGTCTTTTTAGCTTTAGAAAAGAGCATTACTTTGGTTTTCTCAACATTTAAAATAAGCTTAGTTCAGAGAGCTGAGTCTGAATAATGTTAAAAACAGCCTGTAATTTAACAACCGCCTCCTTAATGGAGGGACCTGCACAGTACATCACGGTGTCATCCGCATAAAAATGCAAAGTAGCTTCATCCACATTTTCACCTAAACTATTGATGTAGATGGAGAATAAAAGTGGACCTAAAACTGAACCTTGAGGAACACCATTAGTGATGTTCAACCACTCAGAAGACAGCCCATCAAAGTGAACACATTGGGACCTTTCAGAGAGGTAGTTCACAAACCACCCCACTGCATGGCTGGATAAGCCAATACTGAGTAGCCTCTGCTTTAAGATGTGATGATCGACTGTGTCAAACGCTTTGGAAAGGTCAATAAATAGAGCTGCACAACTCTGCTTTTTATCCAAAATACTTGTAATGTCATTCACCACTTTCATTGTGGCAGTGATGGTGCTATGTTGCTTTCTGAAGCCTGACTGATGTTTAGACAGAATGTCATTGTTACATAAAAACTCCTTTACCTGTTCACTCACTAGGCGTTCAAGAACCTTAGCCAGAACTGACAATTTCGAGATTGGCCTATAGTTATTTAAAACAGTTGCCTCCCCTCCTTTTAGTAAAGGCAGGACATATGCTGACTTCCATATTTTAGGAATTGTGTTTGTGCTGAGGGAGAGGTTAAAAAGAGTAGTGAGAGGTGGAGCAATAAAATCTGCAGCTATCTTTAAAAAGAAAGGTTCTACGTTGTCCAGGCCAGCCGGTTTCTTAGGATCTAACTTAGATAAAGCTTCATGAACAACATTTACAGTAAAAGGAGTAAAACTGAAAGGGTTTTCCAGACCACATTGTTCAGAGTCACAGACTGTGGTGTTCACAGAAGCAGAGTTAGTCACAGAATCAAACATAGAACCGCAGGACACAAAATGCTCATTAAAACAATTTAACATAGTAGCCCTGTCCGATATAGAGCCAGATGCTGTGGTAATGCACAGAGGTAGCTCATTTCGGATCTCACCGGTGGATAGCGATTTTATGGCTTTCCAAAATTTCCTAGGATTATTTAGGTTTTCTGTAGTAACTGACAAATAGTACTTTTGACATGTGAAGTGAAGCTATTTCTTAGCTGCCTAAAACGCAGCCATTCTACCTCTGAGCCTGATTTCCTAGCCTTTGCCCAGGCCTTGTTTCTCTCATGTAGGAAACTGGACAGTTCAGCAGAAAACCAAGGATTGTCTCGTCCCTTTACTCTAAAAGTACGTAGGGGTGCATGTTTATCTATAATTTCCATAAAACCAAGATAAAAATAAGACCATGCAGTTTCAACATCAGCACACAGATCGATTTTTCCCCAATCAAACCCAAACAGATCATGAACAAAACCCTGCTCCACAAAATGTTTTATGTGTCTCTTAATAATAATACGAGGTTTAACCTTTTGGACCTTAGTGTCCCTAATTGTGGCTACAACACAGTGGTCACTCACATCATTTGCAAATACTCCCACAGATGGGTATTTATAGGGAACATTAGTTAGAATGAGATCAATTAGGGATGATTTATTAGGGGACTTAACGTTAGGGCGAGTAGGACTGTCAACAATCTGAGTAACATTCAGAGAGATACAAAGGTTTTTAAAATCCTCTGATACTGCAGTTAACCAGTCCCAGTTAAAATCTCCAAGTAGCACTATTTCCTTGTAGTCTAGTTGTGATAAAAGTTTTGCTAGTGAAGACAAGGAGTCCTTGACAGCTGAGGGGGGTCTGTAACAGCCCACCACCATGACTTGTTGCCCCTTTGCCACTTCTATATTTAAGGCTAAAAATTCGAATTGCTTACTGACAGATTTGGAGATCAATGTGGTTACACTGTACTTATTCTTAACATAAATGGCAACTCCACCACCTTTATTAGGCCGGTCGGTACGATACACATTATAACCATTTAAGGATATGTCAGAGGCCAAAATAGTTTTATTTAGCCATGTTTCTGATAACACAATGACGTCAGCGTCAGTCGAGCTCGCCCAAATGCGGACAAAATCTAGTTTACCTAACAGACTGCGCACATTCAAGTGGATGAAACCCAACCCAGATCTATCTTTAAAATCAGCAGGAGTAGCGATCTGACTACTACTACTGGGCGGACCAGGGTTAGGTTGAACATTTCCTGACAGTAATAACAACAACAAAAACAGGCATCTTTTCCTCTTAATCGACACACACACATTGTCATCTACTTTAGAATCACCGGAAAAGTCTGCGAGAGTTTGATTAGAGCTTAAGAAGCAGTCCTGAAGAACCATCATCGCAGGCAAACAAAAAAGACAAACATATTTTGTCGAGCAGATTGTCTGCGACAAGGTGACCGGTAAATGTTTGTGTAAGACATCCGAACCTTTACAGGGGATGTCCACTGCGGGCGGTAGAACAGACCTGAACCCAGTCGACTTCTCCGGATGACGAGAAAACTTCTCATTGTCCAAAATAGCTAACAGGCATAGCAGAATCACAATAGGGGCCATTTTCCCAGACCAGCACAGCATCCGGATAGGTGCGCAAGCAGGCCCGAAACGTGGAGGCGCTCCGGTCTCTCCGCGATGACCCCAGTGCAAAACCTCCTCAGCACAGCAGGATAGGCGAAGCAGGCCCAGCTCGAGGCGTAGAGGCGCTCCGGTCTCTCCGCGATGTCCCCGGTGAAGATCCTCCTCAGCACAGCAGTACAGGATAGGCGAAGCAGGTCCAGCCCGAAACGTAGAGGCGCTCCGGTCTCTCCGCGATATCCCCGTGGTAAAACCTCCTCGGCACCGTAGAGCACGACAGGTGGAGCAGGTGGATACAGGCCTCCGCTACAGCAGGTGTAAAGCAGGCCGCAGCCCGAGCGCGAAGCCGCTCCGGTCTCTCCGTTACGTCAAAAGAAACGTACACAATACAGCCCCAGACAAGCTCAATGTGTCTGCCTGCTCTTAATGAGGACCCATGTTCCAGTTTAAGGTGTTTTCCTGTTTCAACATTACCAACAAAGCCGGCTCTATAACAAAAAGAAAGAGCCTGACTTCAAGGCCATCCAGCACCTTTGGGATGAAGTGGACCTCTGACCGAGTCTTGATGCACTCTGGTTGCTATATATTGTGTGCAACAGGTGTCATCATATGATTAGGCTCAGGTGTTCTGCATTTGGGTCCTATTTCCCCCAAGCCTGACACAGACAGTGTTCATAACCTCTGAGATCAGTGTCTTCCACATGAAGATAGAAGGGGGGTCCTCCCTGACCCATTTCACCATGATGACTTTCCTGGCCAGCTTTAAGAGCAACATCATCCTCATGATGTTTAAGAGGACAAACAAGCAGCCTAGTCCCTACATCAGTCTTACCTTTTGGGCAATTTGGTGAGGTCTCCGCCCAGAGATGGAGTACTCGAGTGCGGATTTTCGGGACTCGTGACTCGACTCTGACTCGCGCACTGATTGACGCGGACTCGAACTCGGACTTGTGAATTCTCGCGCACAATGACTCCGACTTGGACTCGGATTCGAGCACGTTTTGTCTTGAGTCAGATGTACTCTGTCCTGGCGTGTGCACCTGCGAGGCGAGTTCACGTACTGGCCGTGGGCACGACCCCGCTATTCCAGTCTAAAGATGTCCAGAGACACACCCTGCATCGTGCTGTATGCTTTCACAGATTTTGCTTCGACATTGGGAAAGAGCAGCGCAAAATGCTCGTTATGTGGAAAAAAGATAGAGTTCAAACATATAGTTGGGTGGGTAGAAGGGGGTATCATGCACCCCCCTGAAATATAGTTCTAATCAGCTTTTCTAGATTGGAAAAATGTTGTAGAAAACGATTAGCTATGTTAAAAAGTTGGCAAATTGTCCCACGCAGTTATATCTCTCACAGGCTCCGCCCTCTACTGGACTCTATGGGTACTACTCTCTATCATGCTGTGCGTGCTTTCACCTACTGAATTTACGTAAACGTAGCCGGCCAATCGGGGCGAGCCTACCTGAATGCGCGCGCAGG